ACTCTAAAATCGCCAAAGTATTACCGGGAAGCTGCAATTCAAACAAAATTTTGCAAAAATAAGAAGGAAAGATCAACCCTTGTATCCAGGAAGTAATAAACAAGGACATCACAATATCAAGACATGCAGTGTTTCCTATAATATTTTGCTAATTTCATTTGCTATGTCTGGAAAATGGTCCCTGCTATGTATCAGTGTGACCGAAAAATCTCTCCCCAAATTGATGAAATGCAAACGCGAAGAAATGAGTTGGATTTGGATTACTTTTGACCATTTTCTTCTGGTCTGTCTTGCGAGTTTCGGCGAGGATTTGGAAAGAAAAGATGTCGATGCAACAATGGCACACTGGCAGCTATGCATCCTGAGAAAACAACTTTGGAAGATTTTTTCGCCCGGTTTTTGGATAAAATAATGGTTGATGATGACCGCAGGCAGGTGCGTCTTCCTTACTGCGATTGCATCGCATATTGCACTGGAAATAATAAGTCACTTTCTGCTAAAGGGATCCCAAAGGAGGCAAGGAGGTGTGGACACGAAGGTAAAAAAGGTCTAGTGCAAAACAGCAATAGTTTCAAAAAAGGACAACAACGTCAAATCCAGGCTTTGGATTTCATTTAGAAAACAACCATCGCTATACAATATATTCAAGAACCTATCCACACAAAGGGAGAGGCAGACTTTCCTGCATGTATTTACCTGGACGAGTGTTGCAAAGCAATACTGAGATATATTAAATGAGAACAGCAAAGTCCACAAGTGAATGTAGAATTAATGCAGTTTGAGGTCATTTTCACTGCCAGGGCTCAATGCTATGGATTCCTGGGAGCTGTAGTTGTACCGAACTGCAGCTCCCACTGAGGGCTGAACTACAACTCCCATTGAGGGGCAAACTACAGTTCCCATTGAGGGGTGAACTACAGTAACCATTGAGGGACAAACTATAGGTCCTATTGAGTGCCAAACTACAGTTCCCATTGAGTGCCAAACTACAGCTCTAATTGAGCGCCGAATTACAATTCCATTGAAGGCTGAACTACAAATCCCATTGAGGGGCGAACTCCAACTTCCATTGAGGGGCAAACTACGACTCCCATTGAGGGGCGATCTACAACTTCCATTGAGGAGCAAATTACAGCTCCCATTGAGGGCTGAACTACAACTCCCATTGAGGGCTGAATTACAACTCCCATTGAGGGCCCAACTACAGCTCCCATTGAGGGGTGAACTACAGTTACCATTGAGGGACAAACTACAACTCCATTGAGGCCCAAACTACAACTCCCATTGAGGTCCAAAATCCATTGAGGGGCAAACTACAGTTCCCATTGAGGTCGAACTACAATTCCCATTGAGTGACAAACTACAGCTCTAATTGAGCACCGAATTACAATTCCATTGAGGGCTGAACTACAAATCCCATTGAGGGGCAAACTATGAATTCTATTGAGGGGCAAACTACGACTCCCATTGAGAGGCGAACTACAACTTCCATTGAGGAGCAAATTACAGCTCCCATTGAGGCCGAACTAAAATTCCCATTGAGGACCAAACTACAACTCCCACTGTGCCATGGCAGTTAAAGTGGTGTCAAACAACATTCATTCTACAGTGTAGATGCAACCTGTTAGGCTTTTCTTCTTTTTGTTTGCAACCTTGAGCAGTAGTTTGCTCTGAAAAAAAAAAAAGCCAGGAATCATATGCAATAGGAAAAGGACAGTTCAGGCCTCTGTTTTCCCTGAATAATCCAATCCACTGAAGTTAAAACGGCAAATGCTGTGCAAAGGAGTGTGCAAATTTACGCACAAAGTCTGTTTTTTTCCAAACAGGAGAGTGCAACCGACATGTTTTGTGATGAACACAAATTCTACACATTTGCAAAAATACTCCTGAACTACTCTATACCTGGATATAATTAGAAAACAATTGGCAGATACTGGGTGGAGTGAGGACCGGAAAGGGACATGCAGAAGCAAGGAGATAGGATCCGCATGCAAGGCAACCCCTCAGGTCCCATTTAAGGCACATTTCCAACCCCCTTTTTAACCCCAGAGATACTTCTTGTCTGAGCAACTGGTCGTTTTAGTAAGAACCTGAATCCATTCTGGGTTTTAGTCCAAACATGAGGGGATCTATCCAAGGTGCAAAATATAGTTCTACGCTTGTTGTGTTTTCACTTTCGTCTCGTGTATTTTATTATGTGTATGGTGCAATACATGTTTTTACGGCTGTATTTTAATTGTGTTGTAATATGTGCTTTGATAGATGGGTTTGACTATGTGGTGCCCAGCCTTGAGCTGGAAGGAGAGGCAGGCAATAAATATTAATTTAAATGTATGATTCTTATTTTAATATGTGTATGTTTTAAAGGTGATTTTTTTCATGCAAATGTGTTGGGGAACAGTCATAAAAAAGTAATAATAATAATAATAATAATTATTATTATTATTATTATTATTATTATATTTTAATTCTTGACTCTGATAATTTAATATTTCTTTTAATGTATGTTTTAATATAAGCTTTTATAGATGTATATGACTATGCTGTGCTTTGCCTTGAGCCAAAAGGAGAGGTGGGTAATAAATTAAAATAAATAAACAGAAATAAAAATTATAATAATATTAATGATGATGATGATATAGACCAGGATCTTTTAATTTGATCTCAGATATTTTAATATGTGTATTAAAATGCATATTTTTAGCACAGCAGGGCTAACCACTAGCTGCAGTAAATATTGCCAATTGAAAGGTTGACAGTTCAAGCCCAGGTCGGGGTGAGCTCCTGGCCATCAGCCCAGCTTCTGCCCACCTAGCAGATTGAATGTTCAACATCTACACAAATGACCAGCCACTGCCAGAAGGGACAGAGAGTTTCATCTATGCTGATGATCGTGCCATTACCGCTCAAGCAGGGAATTTTGAGATGGTTGAACAGAAGCTCTCTGAAGCTCTAGGTGCCCTTACTCCCCACTACAGGGAAAACCAGCTGATCCCTAATCCATCTAAAACACAGACATGTGCCTTTTACCTTAAGAACAGACAAGCATCCCGAGCTCTGAGGACTACAACTCCCAAAACTCAAGGCCAATGCCCACCAAATACCTGGGAGTCACTCTGGACCGTGCTCTGACCTACAAGAAGCACTGCCTGAACATCAAGCAAAAGGTGGGCGCTAGAAACAATATCATACGAAAGCTGACTGGCACAACCTGGGGATCACAACCAGACACAGTGAAGACATCTGCCCTTGCGCTAGTGCTACTCTGCTGCTGAGTATGCATGCCCAGTGTGGAACACATCCCACCACGCTAAAACAGTGGATGTGGCTCTTAATGAGACATGCCGCATTATCACGGGGTGTCTGCGCCCTACACCACTGGAGAAATTACACTGCTTAGCCGGTATTGCACCACCTGACATCCGCCGGGAAGTAGCAACCAATAGTGAAAGGACCAAGGCAGAGACATCTCCAGCTCATCCCCTGTTTGGGTATCAGCCAGCACGTCAACGACTTAAATCTAGAAATAGTTTTCTAAGATCTACAGAGACACTTGTTGGAACACCTCAGCAAGCGAGAGTCCAAAATTGGCAGGCTCAAACCGAGAATCTCAACAATGGCTGATACCAAATGAGAGACTCCCCCCTGGGCACACAGAGGACTGGGCGACTTGGAAGGCGCTGAACAGACTGCGCTCTGGCACCACGAGATGCAGAGCCAACCTTCAGAAATGGGGCTACAAAGTGGAATCCACGACATGCGAGTGTGGAGAAGAGCAAACCACTGACCACCTGCTGCAATGCAACCTGAGCCCTGCTACATGCACAATGGAGGACCTTCTTGCAGCAACACCAGAAGCACTCCAAGTGGCCAGATACTGGTCAAAGGACATTTAATCAACTACCAAACTTTGTATTTTGTCTGTTTGTTTGTTTTGTTCTGTTAGAAATGTAATACAATTGACTGGTTGCCCTGACACAACAAATAAAAGCAGATCAAAAACAGCAATGTGACTAGATAAATAAAAAGTAAAGGTCAAGGTTTCCCCTTCACATTAAGTCTAGTCATGTCCAACTCTGGGATGGTGCTCATCTCTATTTCTAAGCCGAAGAGCCAGTGTTGCCCGTAGCCGCCTCCAAGGTCATGTGGGCGACATGACTGCATGGAGCACTGTTACCTACCCGCTGGAGTATCTATTGATCTACTCACATTTGCATGTTTTCGAACTGCTAGGTTGGCAGAAGCTGGGGCTAACAGCAGGAGCTTATCTTGCTCCCCGGATTCGAACTTACTATCTTTCGGTCAGCAAGTTCAGCAGCTCACCAGTTTAACCCACTGTGCCACCAGGGGGCTCAAGTAGATAAATTGGTATCGCTTTAAAAGCAGGGAGGTAATAAAGGTGCCCATAAAAGACATACCAACAATTCGATTGGGAGACAGCTATGGATATACTCAGCATGGAAGATGGAGCAACAGCACCCCCTTGTGGCCAGAGTTGACCACAGCATTCAAATGTAGGAGATGGAAAAAAGCCTGTATGTCTTTTTATGGATTGTTTGTTCTGTCAATTGTATAATGGCTTTGAATGTTTGCCTATATGTGTTCTGTATAAAGTTTGTACGCCGCTCTGATTCCCCATGGGGTGAGAAGAGCGGGATAGAGATTATGTAAATAAATAAATATGTATTTTCAGTTTTGATATGTGCTTTTATAGCTGTGTCTGGCTATGTGGTACCTCGCCTTCAGCCAAAAGAAGAGGTGGATAAGATAGTAAATTCTAATAACAACAATAATAATAATATAGACAAGGATCCTTTAATTTTTTGTCTTCTGTATTTTATAGATATATATGACTATGTGGTGCCCCAACCCGATGATGACTATTATTATTATCATATTTTTTCCTATCCATTGCTCCCATCAACGTGATATCTTGGTCAATACTCATGATTTTTAAACTGATTTTAATGTATGGTATATATTGTATTTGTTTGTATATGTTTGCTGTGGCATTGAATTATTGCCAATTTGGAAGCTGCTCTGAGTCAGTCCCTTTCAGGGTTGAGATAGAGCGGAGTAAAAATACAATAAATAAATAAATAAATAAATAAATACTTTAGATGAGTAAAAGGCGGCTAACCGTCAATAAAAATGGCCCATGTTAAAAACCGTAAATGGATCCAAATCTTGGGTCTCGAATCAGGAACATTTGGGGTCCATTTGGAGACATATTGAGGTGCAAAAGCGATATGAGACCACTGTCATGTCTGAATAAGCCAAACGATGCTTCCTCATTCTGGGGCCCACTCTGCCAGCCATTCCCGGCATTGGGTCCCTTGCTCTTCTGTCTCAGGGGCTTCCTGCGGTGCTTCAGGTTTGGGGTTTTGGGGCCCATCCGCCTTGCGCCCCGTTCCTTCTGCCCAGGCACTCTTCTCTTTCAGGCACTGGATCAGGTCGTCCAGCTGGCACACGGTCTGCTGCGGCGCCCAATGACCATCCAAAGCAGGCACAAAGGGGTCCGGGGCGCTGACCTCGACCAGCTCCTTGGCAGTGGGGATGCGCAAGTAATAGGCGTGGAGCATCATGCGGAAGGGACTGCCGTCCGTCTTCAGGCTGTAGGTGAAGTCGCCCACAATGGGGTGCCCCACAGCACTGCAGTGGACCCGCAGCTGGTGCGTCCGGCCTGGGGAAAGCGAAAGAGATAACATTCTATATCTATATCTATTAGGCTTGTGTAAAACAATCAGAAGTTTCAGAAATCAGAAGAAAATCGGAAGTTTTGTAAGTTGGAAGCCACACCTGAAGTGTTTGCGTGGCCCACACCAAATATTTTAGAATTGAAACTTACCCCATACTTTTCATTTTAGTTTTGTAAATCTTAGAAGGCTCCCTGGGTGCCGTGCCAAAAGCTCTCAGCCGGCATTTGGAAACAATAAACATCGACAAAATCACGATCTGTCAACTGCTTACTTGGATCTGCGCGCATCATTCAAAAATACATCACACAGTCCTAGATGCTTGGGAAGTGTTCGACTTGTGATTTTGTGATACGAAATCCAGCATATAGATCTCATTTGCTTTGACATACTGTGCTTTTGTGTCAGTAAAATAATAATAATAATAATAATAATAATAATAATAATAATAATAATAAGCCTTATTTATACCCTGCCCCCTCTCCCTGAAGGGAAGTCTATGGCTTCACAATATATTTAAGTATAGATATATAAGGGAACGGGATCCAGGAATTCTAGTATACATTTCTAAACTAAATTGACAGCAGTATAAAGAGATTCCATCTATTAAAAAGGACATATTTTCTGTAAGAGCTATATTTTGGCTCAATGCTTTACTTTGGAGGGTGCTGGATTCTCAATTGTGGGAGTCTATCAAGAGGAGTTGCATTACTTGCACATAACTACATGGTGGGGGAGTTGGACAAGATGACCTTTGGTGTCCCTTCCAACTCTATGTCCGTTACAGTACTCAATGTAATACCTAAACATAAAGTTCTTTTACCGGTCAGCGGCTGCAGGAGAACCTTGCTCACGGGGTCACCGCTATAGAGCCCATGCTCAAGGACCGTCAGCTCTGTTTGGCAAGGCTTGGGGTTTTCGCACCCTGTTCGGAAAAAAATAGGGATTGTGATCCTATGCAATAAACATACAAATAATTTTGCACAGAGCTCACCAAGGGTTTTCTACCTTCGGTGCCTTCAATGCACATCATGTGGGTCATTCCCTCGGTGGTGTTCTTCCCAATGGCATATTCAATGGTTAGTTTTGCTTCCTGGACATGGCCCCGCACCTGCCCAGGAAAAGACCAAAATGGACACATTCCACGTTTGATAAAGGAGAATATCAGCTGGCAATTTGCAGTATTTCTCAACCTTCCTAATGCTGCAACCCCTAAATACAGTTCCTCATGTTGAGGTGACCCCAAGCCATAACATTAATTTTGTTGCTACTTCTTAACTGTAATTTTGCTCCTGTTATGAATCGGAATGTAAATATCTAATATGCAGGATGTGTTTTCATTTACTGAACCAAATTTGGCACAAATACCTAATATGCCCAAATTTGAATACTGATGGAGTTGAGTTTGTCATTTGGGAGTTATAGTTGCTGGGATTTATAGTTCACCTACAGTCAAAAGCATTCTAAACTTCACCAACAATGGAATTAAACCAAACCTGGCACATAGAACTCCCATGACCAATAGAAAATACTGGAAGAGTTTGGTGGGCATTGACCTTGAGTTTGGGAGTTGTAGTTCTACATCTAGAGAGCACTGTGGACTCAAACAATGATGGATCTGGACCAAACTTGGCACAGATCCTCAATATGCCCAAATGTGAACACTGGTGGAGTTTGGGGAAATGAGACTTGACATTTGGGAGTTGTAGCAGCCCGGATTGATAGTTTACCTACAATCAAAGAGTATTATGAACCCCACCAACGATAGAATTGGGCCAAACTTTCCACACAGAACCCCAACAAACAACAGAAAATACTGTGTTTTCTGATGGTCTTAGGTGACCCCTCTGACACCCCCTTGCAACCCCTCCAGGGGTCCCGACCCCCAGGTTGAGAAACACTGTGCTAAGGGGTTATGGGAGTTATAGTTTTCAAAGGCCACCTCTACCAAAGTATTGCGAACTACAGCTCCCAGTGCTACATAGCATTGAGCCAGGCCAGAGAAAGAGGAATCCTACTCTATACATTCGCTAGTTTAGATGCACCCTTTGTTATGATAATGCTTCTCTTTGCATGCAGCTGGAGTTCTTTGTATCTGTCTTTCATTTCTATTGAATGCTTGTGTTTTCCTTTTTTTAGATCTTGCCTTTGTATATCTTGATCTACATAGATCTAGATATATAGATATAGATCAGGCCAACTTAATACCTCCCTAGATAGATTGATATATAGATAGATAGATATAGATATTTAGATATAATACTGGCTGGGACCTCCCTCCCAATATATACAGCTATAAATATAGATGTGTGTGTGTGTGTGTGTGTATATACACACACACACACACAGCGAAAGAGAGAGAGAGAGAGAGAGAGAGAGAGAGAGAGAGAGAGATCAGGCTGACTTAATACCTCCCTACAGATATAAATATAGATAGATATAAAGATCAGGCGAACTTAATACCTCCCTATATATATAGATATAGATATTATTTAGATATAGAACAGGCTAGGACTTAATACCCCCCAATATATATAGCTATAGCTATAGGCCCTACAGATATAAATATAGATAGATATAGATAAAGATCAAGCCAACTTAATACCATCCTATATATAGAGAGAGAGATATTTAGATATAGAACAGGCTAAGACTTAATACCTTCCAATATATTTAGCTATAGCCATAGCTATACATATATATATAGAGAGAGAGAACGAGAGAAAGATCAGGCTGACTTAATACCTCCCTACAGATATAAATATAGATAGATATTATTTATTTATTTGCTTTATTTATATACCGCTTTTCTCAGCCCTTAGGCGACTCAAAGCAGTGAACAACTTCAATACAAAACATCACGAGACAAGTATAGGGCAATTAAAAACAATTGTAACATAAATCATTAAAGCCGATCAGGCTCCTTAGCACTATGATGGCACAACTGGGAAGATTAAGGGAAAACTATATGTGTCTGGCTATTTTCCCAGTGACCATCGGTATGCCCTATATGTACTTTAATTCCCCCAAAATAAAACTCTAGAGACAAGACTAAAATTCACCAATTAAGTTTACTAAACAATCAAGATGAATCAAAACGAGGTATACAAAGGTGCAGTTTGATTATGATGGTATAGAATTAGAATAATAAGGAACAGGTGTAAGGTATAACTGAGGTAAATATAACTATAATGGTATAAACTCTAAGTTCTATGTGACATGTACTATCTACAAACTCTGGGGCATGTATGTACTATGTAATCTATAAGGCAAATATAACTATTCTACGAGGCAAATATATTCTAATCTACGAGGCATACACTTCTATACTCTTTGGATAAACACTATCTATATTCTTCTATATGGAGGCATGTACATCTATATTCTATGGAAAATACATCTATAAACTCTGGGACATGTACTGCTTAGGTCTTTGGCATGTACATCTATAAACTTTGGTCTCTGGGGCAAATATGTGCTAAGGATGGCCTGTTCAGACTGCTAAGCCAGACCAGACACGTTCTGGCTAACTACTAAAACTATGTCCAAAAGAATGGAGCCAAAAAGTCTTTCACCAGGCTCTGAGGCAGAATGGGCTGAACCACCAGAGCTCGGCCTCTAGGGGGAGCCTAAGCTCCTACTCTAAAACTTAGCAGAATGGAACAGTCCAACTCCAGGGAGCAAACAGAGGGGAGTAAAAACTAGGCCGAGACTACACAATCAGTATATCAATCATTAGCGCCTCAACAGTAAAATCAGAATCCAGTCTCATCATCCATTATTCCATATTCCTATGTTCAATTACACTGTATTGTCGAAGGCTTTCATGGCTGGAATCACTCAGTTCTTGTGGGTTTTTTCGGGCTATATGGCCATGTTCTAGAGGCATTTCTCCTGACTTTCGCCTGCATCTATGGCAAGCATCCTCAGAGTTGACCTCAACTCTGAGGATGCTTGCCATAGATGCAGGCGAAACGTCAGGAGAAATGCCTCTAGAACAGGGGTCTTCAAACTTTTTAAACAGAGGGCCAGGTCATAGTCCCCAAAATTGTTGGAGGGCCGGATTATAATTTGAAAAACACATGAATGAATTCCTATGCACACTGCACATATCTTATTTGTAGTGCAAAGAACACTTAAAAACAATTCACTAATTAAAATGAAGAACAATTTTAACAAATATAAACTTATTCGTATTTCAGTGGGAAGTGTGGGCCTGCTTTTGGCTGATGAGAGAGGATTGTTGTTGTTGTGTGCTTTCAAGTCGTTTCAGACTTAGATTGACCCTGAGTGAGGGCCGGGTAAATGACCTTGGAGGGCCGCATCCGGCCCCCGGGCCTTAATTTGAAGACCCCTGCTCTAGAACATGGCCATATAGCCCGAAAAAACCCACAAGAACTGTTCAATTACACTGTTTAATCAAATGCTTGTTCGAACAGCCAGGTCTTCACTTTCCCCTGAAACGCCAGCAGGGAGGGGGCCGATCTGATATCTGCAGGCAGGGTGTTCAACAGCCGAGGGGCCACCACTGAAGAGGCCCTGTCTCTCATCCCCGCCAAGCACGCCTGTGATGCAGGCGGGACAGAGAGCAGGGCCTCCCCAGGTGATCTTAGTGTCCTAGCTGGTTCATAGGAGGAGATGCGTTCGGAGAGGTAAGTAGGGCCAGAACCGTTTATATGAAGATCAGGCCTACTTAATACCTCCCTACATATATATATATATATATACATCGATATAAATATATAGACATAGAGCAGGCCAACTTAATACCTCCCTGTAGATATAGATATATAGATATATAGGTATAGATTAGGCTGACTTAATACCTCTCTCTATATATAGATATACTTACATATAGATATATAGATATAGATCAGGCCAACTTAAAACCTCCATACACACACAGAGAAAGATATAGATAGATAATTATAGATCAGGTCAACTTAATACTGCCCTATATGTATAGATAGACATATATGTATATAGATATAATAATAAATAAATAAATAAATAATCTTTATTTATACCCCACCACCATCTCCCCAAAGGGGACTCGGAGCGGCTTACATGGGGCCTAGCCCAAACAAGAATTACAATATAAGAATACAAATTGCAATAAAATAAGCAACATAACATTAAGATATGGAAGGAGATGCCTTGTAGGTGAAAACCTGCACCTTGAATTGGGACCGGATATAGACATGTAGCTATAGATCAGGCCATCTTAATACCACCCTATAAATATATAGGGGGGGGGCATGTAGATACCTGCCATTCAAGTAGACACAGAGATCTTAAAGCTGAGGGCCGCTTACCAGAGCAAGGTAGGCTTTGGTCACCATCCGCTCCTTGAAACACTTGTATGCGCTGCCAGCCGCAGCTTTGTTGAGGGCCACACATAATGCGCCGCTGGTGGAGAAGTCCAACTGGTGGCAAAACCTAAAAGAACAAGAAAAGTTGCATTTCTGCCAGTTGCCTCTCTTCAATCATGAAGAACAGAATTGCACGATCCAACCAGGACCACACTGGTGCATTTCATTTCTTTGCTACCCATATTTTATTACTTCCCTGTACTATATGGCAGTGTAGATGGGACCTAAGAGCTAAGACCCAATGCCTGCTTTGTTGCTTCTCCTCTACCACTGAGTCCAAATCTACACTGCCATATAATACAGTTTCTGATCCCATATTATCCGTTTGAACTGGATTATATGGCAGTGTAGTCATCTAATCCAGTAGAAATCAGATAATCCGGAATCAGATATGATATGGCAGTATAGATGCTCAATGCTATGAAATCACGGGAGTTATAGACGGACAAGGTCTTTCGCCATTCTCACCAAACTACAACTCCCAAGATGCTGCAACACTGAAATGCGGCAGATTTTGTAATGTGGATTATAGAATGTTATAATAGATCTCTGGCTGGATCTATATTGCCCTATATCCCATGATCTGATCCCAGATATCTGCTTTAAATTGGATTATGTGAGTCTACACTGCCAGATAATCTGGGATAAGAAAATAATCTGGGATCAGATCCTGGGGTATAGAGCAGTACGGAAGGGGCCTCAAAGACCATTCTGTCCAACCTCCAGCCATGCAAGGATACACAATCAAAGTACTCCCAACAGATGCCCATCAAGTTCAGAGTGATCTGAGAGATGATTTTTTTTCGGTTGGAGAACCTGATTGTTTTATACTCACCGAAAGCCATAATAAGTGTCTGGGTCAGCCAGCTCTGGGAAGCGGTGCTTCAGCTGGCTCTGGAGGGTGAGCTTTTCGTACCACATCTTGCTGTCAATGCGGACGTCCCAGTGCTTGTTGACCACAATGAAGTCCGCACTTTGATACAGGATGGAGAGATTGTCCAGGCTGACCGGCTCCATGGCAGGGAATGCTAAAGAGAAAAGACTTCCACGCTCAGCCCCAAAAATATGTGGGGTCTACACTCTGCACATGCTCACTGGCATTCATTTCCAAGTTAAAAACATTTAGATTTTGCAGTGAGCTCAGCCCTCTGCACATGCTCATTGCCCATGATTTCCAAGTTTAAACATTTGGGATTTTGCAATGGGAGAAACTCAGCACTCTGCACATACTTAGCGGAACTAATTTCCATGCTAAAAACAGTTGGGTTCTGTAATGGGCTCAGCACTCTGCACATGTTCATTGGCAGTCATTTCCATACTAAAAAATAGATTTTGCAATGGGATGAGCTCAGCACTCCACGTGTGCTCACTGACTATCATTTCCATGCTGAAACATTTAGAATTTGCAATGGAAGAGCTCAGCCCTCTGTACATGCTCATTGGCACTCAATTCAAAGTAGAAAACATTTGGGTTTTTCAATGGTAAGAGCTCAGAGCTCCACACATCCTCAGTGGAAGTCACTTCATACTAAAAAAAAGTTGGGTTCTGCAATGGAAAGAGCTCAGCCCTCTGCACATGCTCATTGGCACTCACTTCCAAGTGAAAAACGTTTGGGTTTTGCAATGGGAAGAGCTCAGCACTCTGCACGTGCTCATTGGGACTCATTTCCAAGCTAAAAACATTTAGGTTTTGCATATTGTCAGCGACTGGATCACCCTTTTCCTTCCCAGTTAAAATTAATGCTTCTTGACACTGCTCTGGCTTAATGCTCTGGATTCCTGGGAGCTGTAGTTTGGCAAGATTATTTTGCCTTTCTCTGTATAAGATGATGCTCCACCAAACTCTTAACTCCCCTGATTCCATAGCATTCAGACATGACAAAGTGGTGTCAATGACCATTAATCCTACAGTGTAGATGCACCCCCAGTTTGAATGCTAGGAAATCCTGGGATTTGTAGTTTTGCAAGGCCTTGAGCCTTCTCTACCTCACCAAACTTCAACTCCCAGGATCCTATGGCATTTCAAGTGGGGTCAAGCTACATTGTTTCTACAATGCAGAGGCACCCTGAGAGTCCACTGTATCAAATGCCTTGCAAAACTACAACTCCCAGCATCCCCTTCGTGCGTTCCCCACAACCAAGACACTCACCTGCGTGACTTTTTTGCAGGGCAGTTTTTTTAAGAGCAAGAAGTTAAGGAAGGCAGGCAGGCTGGTGCTACATTGCAAAGCATTGCATTTGCAGCTTGCAGTGGAATCCCCGGGCCCGGGCAGGTCAGGTGGGAACCAGCCAATCAGCGCCTTCCTTGGAACGTTCACCCGGAAATGCAAGCCCAGCGCGCGCAAGTTTGCAAAAGGAGGAAAAAATAATAATCCAGCAGCTGTGCATTACAAATATTATTATTATTCTTTTGCATTGGGGCAATACTAATTCATTGTGATTTCATTCTTTGATTGCATGCATGCATAGAAGGCTCCGTTCCAAAGGGGTTGTGGTTTGGCATTTCTCCCCTTTCTTGTGTCTTTTCCCCCTTTCCTCCTCTCCATTGCAAAAGGGAAGGAGCCCAGAGAGTCGTGTATTTCTTTTATATGGAAGAAGATTATCAGGAGGACCTGTATGGCATTGAAGATGAGTTCGAGGAGCAGTTCGCAGATGAGCTGGAAGTTTTGGCTGAGCTGGAAGGTGAGGCCCTAAAAAGCTGGGTTTGGGGGCGCATCTACACCGGGGAATTAACGCAGTTTAGTACCACTTATGCAGCCAGGGAGAGGCACTGCATAATCCCCTTACTCCCAATTTGCATGGATATGTGCGTTGGAGAGGCATATACACTGGGGAATTAACGCAGTTTGATACCACTTTGAATTTAACAATACATTAAATATATCAATATGATATAATAATATATTTGCTGTTTAATAAATCGTATATGATTTAATATTTAATTGAATATTATATAAACATGATTTAATACTATATTTAATATGTGGTCTATGATTTAAAATATGTAATAGGCTGGAGATTTTTAAATGTAGTTTTAAATGCCGCTTTGGGTCTCAATCACAGAGATGAAAGCGAGATTCAAACTATTATAATTCAGATGAGACTTTATAGATGATGACGACTTCACCATGTTATTATTATTATTAATATTAATATTATTGAGGTGAGACTCTATAGATGATAATGGTGATGATGATTATACCATATTATTGTTGTTGTTGGAGTGAGACTCTGTAGATGATGATGACTATACCATATTATTATTATTATTATTATTATTATTATTATTGAGGTGAGATTATAGATGATGATGATGATGATGATGATGATGGCAATTGTACCATTATATGGTTGTTGTGGTATAATTGTACCATTATATGGTTGTGATGATGATTATATCATGTTGTTGAGGTGAAAGTATACATGATGATGGTGGTGGTAATGGTACCATTATATTGTTGTTGTTGTTGTTGTTGTTTTGTTGTTATTATTGAGATGAGACTCTATTGATGATTATGATGGTGATAATGACAACACCTTGTTGTTGTTATTATTATTATTATTATTATTGAGGGCAGAGTATAGATCGTGATGATGGTAATGGTACCATTATATTGTTACTGTTGTTGTTATTATTATTACTGAGGTGAGGCTCTATAGCTGATGATGATTATCATTATTATACCATATTATTATATTATATTGTTATTACTATTATTATTGAGGTGAGACTCTATGATGATGATAATGGTAATGGTGATTATACTTTATTGTTATTATTGAGGTGAAACTATTGATGATGGTGGTGGTAATGATGATTATACCTTATTATTATCATTATTATTTTACTGTGCTGTTACTGTGTTTTTTATGAGTTGCCTAATGATCCATTGATTGTAATAAAGGATGAGGTTTGGTTGCTTGTTAAAGAGAGATTTTAAGATGTTTACTTACTAAGATTGGACCTGCTTCTCTCTGACAGAGGAAACCCCTCAAGCTCCGTCTCATAAAGTCTCCAAACTCCGGAGCCAAAAGCGGACCTTCGAGGAGGCTCTCTGTGCAGGGGATTTGGATAAGAAACCCACTGTTGTAGGTTGCCATCTGGACATCAAAAGGGATGCTAAAGATCCGGTCCTCCCAAAGGCCAAGGAAAACCCCCCAAATCCAGAATGCGTCCCGATGCACGCAGAAGATCCACCACCCGAAGAGTATGAAGCCAACCAAAGTAAGTTTGCAGGTTGCGCCCGATGCAATCTCCCTTTTCCAAAATGCTTGGGGTACAAAGGATTTTGGATTTATTTTTTTCAGAGTTTGCATATTTTTGGAGATTATCACACTATACACTAAAAACTTTGTTCCTGTGTTTTATCCTCACTGCAGCCCTGCAAAGTTGGTTAGAATCTTGGGAGTAAAGGGTGCCTCCATACGATATAGTAGATGCAGTTTGATTCCACCTGAATTGCCACAACTCAGTTCTATGGGATAATGGTTTTAGTTTTACAGGGTCCTTTTATAGCCTTGTAAGTACTTGTTTGGAAAACAAAACTATGCACAGAGAAAATAAAGGATGGATTTTGATGCAGTTTGACATCATTTGAACTGCCATAGCTCAATACCATGGAATCGTGAGAATTTGTTGCTTAATGAGGCACCAGCCCTCTTGCAGAGGCGGTTAAAGGCTTTGCAAAGCCATGGCAGATCAAGTGGCATCAAACTGTGTCAATTCTACAGTCTAGATTAGGCATGGGCAAACTTGGGCCCTCCAGGTGTTTTGGATTTCCGCAATTCCTAATAGCTTAAGTGACTGAGGGAGAAAAGTAAAGGGCCTGGGGCTATTAGGAATTGTGGGAGTTGAAGTCCAAAACACCTGGAGGGCCCAAATTTGCCCTTGCCTCAAGATATATCTAGACCAGGCATGGGCAATAGTCTAAATAGTCTTTGGGGTTCCCTTCCAACTCTGTCACGCTAAAATAGGGCTGTGGCCTTTGTGTTAGCTGGAGATGATGGGAGTTGTAATAAACCTATTTTGGGTCTATAAAAGCCATTTCTCTCTCTTCTCCTCGGGCCCGAAAGCTCCCAAGCCAAAACGGCAGAGGCGCCTTGAGGCCATAAAGAAGCTGGACTTTGGAACCGATGACAGAACGGACGCTCAAGTTCCTTGCAAAGGGGACATCTCTCCTCCTCTTTCGCCTCATTCTGAATCTCAAGACGCACGGTGAGCTCTAGAGGAACTCCAGGGCCTTTTAAAATATGGAGTGGTCACCCTCTTATGGCAGGGAGTTCCACAGTTTTGGTGTCAGCAGACAGCCGACTTTTGGGGCAGCATTTCCGCCTTGGTCTCAAAGGACAACGTCAGATCTGACTGCTCTCTTTTTTTGGGGGTGTCCTGTTTTTGCAGAACTCCAAGCTTCGTTTCCTCGAATGTTTCAGGGCTGGACGGCATGCGGCCCTTACAGGTGACACCCCCAAATGGAAGGGACTTCAAGAGGGTGCTGCGGAGGCCACCCGTCCTGGAAGACTACGTCAACGTGACCTCGACCCACGGCACCCGAGTCTTCATGGCGGTGAAAGAGGATCCCACCGGGACGGAGGTACCCTTGTTTCGGACCTGTTTGAGAAGGAAAGGGTGGCCTTTCATTCTTCACCAACAAGGTTTGGATACAGATCCGTTTCCATCAATATGTGTCTGGTGTCTCCCCAGATTTCTGGCTCCATTGCGCAGAATGGAAGAAGGCCACTTCATCTACTCGGAGTTCCTTTTTCCTATTTAAAGGAACAAGTCGCAGAAGAGGTATTCCCTTCCCATCCCACTCTAATCCTTATTTGCTATATTACACTATGTAACACGATTTTTGTTGCTGGGTCATAAATGTCATTTCCTAACTGGTTCTATCATAAAAACATCGGGAAAACTTATTAAACTGTAAAAACTTTGTTTTTGCGGGAGGGACATCCTGCTATAGCACATCTCGTTTTTTCATGAATACATCACCGAGTCTCAACTAATTGAACATAGCTTGTGGCAGCCACAGAAACTAAGTTTCTGGATTATAACAACTACTTTCAAAGTAAGTCCCACATAATTAAACAGGAAATAACACTTTCAAACCAGGAACAGAAAATATTTCAAATTTTGTTCCATAATGTATTACTATTGTTATGGCTCTTGTTGTTATTATCATTGCTTTAATTGGCCATTGATATTATTATATTTTATTATTATTATATATTATATGTTATTATTTTTATTTTAGTATATTATTATTTATAGTAGTAGTATTACTACTATAGTGGGCCTTAGATGATGATGATGTTGTTTGTTGTGGGGTTTGGTTCCAGGTTCGCCTAAGGACACCAAAAACCATAGATGCTCGTGTTGGGAAATACAGTGGACCGCCTTAAATATAATGGCAAAATCAAGGCTTGCCTTTTGGATTTTTTTGAAATAATATTTTCTGGTCACTACAGACCTGCTTGTCTTCCCCTAATATTTTATGAGAATATTAATTTCAGTTAATTTAATGTACTTCTCTACACTGTAGAATAAATGCTGTTTCACTCCACTTTAATGTCTATGGCTTACTGCTATGGGATTGTGGGAGTTGTAGTTTCATAAATTCTCTGCAAGAGAGTTCTGATGCCTCAGTGGACTCCAGTTCCTGGAATGCAGTAGCATTGAGCCATTGCAGTTAAAAGGGATATCGAACTGCATTAAGTCTGCAGTATAGATGCAGCCTAGGTTTTGTGATTCTCTTGTGTTTACCTTTCTTTCTTTGCTTCTCAGCGTCGGAAGCAGATCCATGCGTCTTCACAGCTGTTGACAGAGGTTCTGAACAGGTAATCCCAACATTTATTTTAGGATGTGGGTTCAAATTCCAAATCTGATGTTAAGTGAATGGGAAAACGCCAAAACTGGTGAGCCATGTGCCAGAGCAGTGGTGGAATCCTGTCCGGGTTTTGAAATGACTTGAAGGAGCTCTCCGTGGTGCTGAATCACCTCAAAAGTCCTTCTGAGTTTGGGTAAAACCTGGAGCTGATTTCTTCTGCAGCTGACACAGATCGCCTCTCCACTGAATAGATAATCAGGGTTTTTGCTCTGTTTTTCAACTTTCCTTTTTGAAGCTGTCTCAGCAATGAGGAGGAGCCTGCGATGGAGGCTGTGGCTGCAGAAGAGGAAGGGGACGAGGCCACTCCGCATTCCCTTTGGGTTGATCGGTTCAGTCCCAGACATTATGTGGAGCTGCTGAGCGATGATGTAAGCACCTCTCAATCCCTACGATAGGCTGGTAGGCTGTTAAGAATTGTGGGAATTGAAGTCCAAAACACCTGAAAGGCCGAGGTTTGCCCATGCCTGGGTTAAAACAACCCCATACCATATCTTATATAATATTATATATATTCATATAATCTTTGCCGTGTAAATGAGATTTGAATATTCTTCCCTTTACGTTTCTTATGTCACACAGTTGATTCTTAAGTTGTTTTCTTGAGCGCCAGTCTGTGGATTTCATCACAGACATCATAGTCAACAGATTTTTCTTTTCTTCATTAGAAACTTATCTATTTTAGAATTAGGTCTAACATTAAACTCTACATATTTATGGATAATAATGTCAGGAGGGATCATATGGCATCCTCCTTCATTGCCCTTAGGGAGGGGGTCCCATCCCCTTCTAGTGAACTATAGACTGCCTTGGAGGCCAGTGGCATCTCCTCTGGAGATTGAATGACCATCTCTCAGGAAGGATTGTATTGTGTCTTCCTGCCTGGCTGAACGGGGTTGGACTAGATGCTTTTTGGGTGTCCTTTCCAAATCTAGTGAAGTATAGACTGCCTGGAAGTCCAGTGGAGCCTCCTTGGTAGGTTTTTGAACTGAGATGGTCATCTGTTGGGAGGGATCAGAATGTGTCTTTCACAGCTGAAGGAGGTTGAACTGGATGCCCTCTGGGGGTCCCTTCCAACTCTAATGAAGTGTAAACTGCCTTCTCTGGAGCCTTTTTAATTGATGCTGGATGGCCATCTGTTGGGAGGGCTTTTACTGGATCTCCCTGCCTTGCTGAAGGGGGTGGACTAGATGCCCTTTAGGGGTCCCTTCCAATTCTAGTGAAGTATAAACTGCTTTCTTTGCAGGGTTTTGACCTGAGACTGGATAACCATCTGTTCAAAGGGATCAGATTGTGTCCTTAGTTGAAGGGGGTTGGACTAGATGCCCTTTGGGGGTCCCTTCCAACTAGTGAAGTATAGGCTTCCTGGGAGGCCAGTGGCATCTCCTTTGCAGGACACTTTTGAACTGAAGCTGGATGGCGGCCTGTTGGGGGGCTTTGACTGGGTCTCCCTGCCTAGCTGAAGGGGGTGGACTAGATACCCTTTGGGGGTTTCTTCATCCCCTGTCTATCTTTCAGTTCACGAACCGCTGCCTGCTGAAGTGGCTGAAGCTGTGGGATGGGGTGGTATTTGGGAGAGAGCGGCCCCCCAAGAAAGCCCGATCTGAAGCTCCCCCAGCATCTCGTCCAACCAAAGAGCAGCCGGGCAAATGGAAGTCCAAGGCCCAAGCCACCGAGGAGGCCCTGGAAGCCCAACTGGACCCCCAGAACCGCCCCAAGCACAAGGTCAGAACTCCCAAGACTATTATCATGTTTTATTATGCACACAGAAAAGAAAAGAAAATAGGTTGGGAAAGATTTATATTTCAGGAATGTCCTTAGAGCAGCAGTTCCCAAAATGCATTCCGTGGAACCCTGGGTTTCCGCAAAAGCATAGCTCCTAATTCCCCCAAAATAATATTATTTTTTTCCCCCAAAAGATGCATTTAGGCTTATTTTTTCATGTCCTGCATTCTACGTTTATTCAAATACAGTCACGTCATTTTCTCTTCTGGACCATCGTCATATTAGGTCAATAATATTATTCATTTATATTTCATCAGTGCATCTGTTGCAACACACAACACTCATATTTAATTGTAGATTAATAATATTAATATTGTGTCATTCAGTTTGTCCGTTGCAACGGATGTATTGAAATGTAGAATAATAATATTTAATTATATATTATTAATATTATTATTGTTTAATTCAGTGTGTTTGTTGCAACACACGATGGATGTTTTGAATTATAAAATCATAATATTTAATTATATATTAATAACATTAGTGTTGTACCATTCAATGTGTTCATTGCAACACACGATGGACGTATTGAATTATAAAATATTTATATATTAATATTATTTTACCATTCAGTGCATCTGTTGCAATATACGACACTCATATTGAATTATAAAGTAATTATATCTGTCATTCGGTCATTTTGTTGCAACACGTGGCACACATCTTGAGTTATAAAATAATAATATTTAATTATATTATTATTATTGTTGTTATTATTAGGTTGCCCTCCTGTGCGGCCCCCCTGGTTTGGGGAAGACCACCTTGGCTCATGTCATTGCAAAACATGCTGGGTACAACGTGGTGGAGATGAATGCCAGGTAAGCTATTGGGGCCGATGGAGAAATGAAGCCAAAACATTGCTGTGTATTCGTCAATGCAGTCTGGTGAGAGCCGGTGTGGTGGAGACTTAGGTTCGAATCCCTTCTTGGCCATGGCAGCACATTGGGAAGCCTTGGGCAAGTTACACTCTCTCAGCCTCAGAGGGAAAGCATGGCAAATGTTTTGAAAACAGGGTTTCTTCTTTCCTTCTAGTGACGACCGCAGTCCAGAGGCTTTCAAAACGCGCATTGAAGCTGCTACTCAAATGAGGTCTGTCCTGGGAGCCAATGAGAAACCCAACTGCTTGGTCATCGATGAAATTGATGGTGCTCCCACGGTAAGGGAGCCTCCCCATTGGCTGGCAGTGGTCCCGCCTCCTTTACTTCCTTTTTCATTGTGGTTTGTTAACTTCCTATTTCATTTACTCCTTATAATACACATAGCCTTGAGTTAATTAATTATATAATTACTATTAATAATAATGCAATAATAAAATATAATAATAATACAAAAGTATAATAATAGCAAATTTATTCTTAATATTATTATTAAAAGTCAACTGACCTATTTCATTTACTCCTTATACTACACATAGCCTGAAGTTAATTATCGATTATATTATCATTATTATTAACTAGTCATCCCCTGCCACGCGTTGCTGTAGCCCACATGGGGGTTCTGTGTGGGAGGTTTGGCCCAATTCTATCGTTGGTGGGGTTCAGATTGTAGGTGAACTGTGAATCCCAGCAACTACAACTCCCGAATGTCAAGATTCTATTTTCCCCAAACTCCACCAGTGTTCACATTTGGGCATATTGAGTATTCGTGTAGAGTTTGGTCCAGATCCATCATTGTTTGAGTCCACAGTGATCTCTGGATGTAGGTGAACTACAACTCCAAAACCAAAGGACATTCCCCTCCAAACCCTTCCAGTATTTTCTGTTGGTCATGGGAGAACTGTGTGCCAAGTTTGGTTCAATTCCACCATTGGTGGGGTTCAGAGTGCTCTTTGATTGTAGGTGAACTATAAATCCCAGCAACTACAACTCCCAAATGATAAAATCAATTTTTTGAGTGAAGAACATACATTGAATTGTGAGGTGTCTTGTGTCCAAATTTGGTGTCAATTCGTCCAGTGTTTTCTGAGTTCTGTTAATCCCACAAACGAACATTACATTTTTATTTATATAGATAATAATAATATAATAATAAAATATAATTATTATAATAATATAAAATATGATAGCATTGTTATTAATATTATTAATATTATTATTAAAGCCAACTGAGCTCTTATGAGTTTCCACTCTTTATAATACACATAACTTGGAGTTAGTTATTAATATATTATTAATATTATTATTATTATTATAAAATACCATAATAGCAATGTTATTCATAATATTATTATTAAAGTCACCTGAACTCTCATAGGTTTTTTTAGGTTTTTTTTCTCTATTTAGGAGATTTTCATAATTGCAAATGATACGGGCCCACAATGCCTTCAGAGGGTTTGGGGGCTGTGAGAGAGTTACTTGCCCAAGGTCACTCAGTGAGTTTCTGTGATTTGAACCCTGGCCTCTTCAAATGTCGTCCACATTGCTATTTGTTCCAACTGTCCCATTTGGGCCTACAGGCCTCCATCAATGTGTTGTTGGGGATTGTCAACCGGAAGGCGGTGGAGAATGAATCAGAAACCGGATCTGGAAAGACGAAGCGGAGGAAGGAGGGCGGGCTCCTGTTGCGGCCCATCATCTGCATTTGCAACGACCAGTAAGAGAGCTTCACTTATGAGAAAAGAAGACGTTGCTGGATGGGAGAGGAATGCATTGCTTCTTCCGTTAAATACTAGTTTTCCATCGCCCAACCGATTCGAGCGAAATTCTCCCCTCCAGTAGCAAGGAGTTCCACTGGAGCGATTTTTGTGTCACTCTTTTCTATTTAAAAGCATGGGAAATGGGTGCATCTGTACTATAGAATTTGATGCAGTTGGACAGCACTCTAATTGCCATTGGAATCCTCAATGCTATGGGGTCCTGGGAGTTGTAGTTTCACAATATCTTTTGCCTTCTCTGCCTTTTCCAAGTGACAACTCCCAGGTTTCTGTAGCACTGAGCCTTGGCCCTTAAAGTGGCGCCAGGCTGCATTAATTGCACAGTGTAGATGCACCTGTAGTCATCGCTATTTTCCATGCTTTGAAATGAGCATTGGAGTCTTGTGCTGCTCACTTTTACTTGTTGTTTCTTGCTTTTCCTGTTGCCTTTGAAATACAGCTTTCTACATCTTATCTCCTAGATACGTCCCTTCGCTGCGTCTTCTGCGGCAGCAAGCTTTCCTTCTCAACTTCCCCACGACATCCCAGTCCCGGCTGGTCCAGAGGCTGCAGGAGGTATTATTATTAATATTAAGTGCTATTATTAATTATTATAATTTATTGTTATTTATTTGTTTGTTCTGGTACACAAACCAGCTCGTAATCGTAAGATACTATTGCAACACAACTTTAAACTATGCTTGCAAGGCAGCCTCTATAATCACTGCTCCTTTGGGTGTTTCCCAGGTCGCCACCCATCAGGGCATGAAAGCTGACCCTGGAGCTCTGGCGGTGCTGTGCGAGAAAACGGAGAATGACATCCGCTCATGCATTAACACCTTGCAGGTAAGTCATGAAGGAGGTTTACGGTTGTATGCATGAATACGGAGCCCCTGTGGCTGAAGGCATGATGATCCTGCCAGATACATTACATTGCTCTCTCACCCAGTGTTTATAAACTTTTAATCTTTGCAGCCGGCCCTGCCCACTGTGTCCAATTATTGTGATTCAATTATTATGATTTTATATTGCTTGTGTGTTTACTTGTATTGTTTTTGTATTTTTATTTTCATTATATTTTATTGTATTATTATTATGTTGTTGTTTTTTTTGCTGTATTTGTTGGGCTTGGCCTCATGTAAGCTGCCCCGAATCCCCTTGGGGATATGGTGGCGGGGTATAAATAAAGTATTATTATTATTAGTAGTAGTAGTAGTAGTAGTACTACTACTACTACTGTCCCCTGCCATGCGTTGCTGTGGCCCAGTCTGGTGATCTGGAAAATAAAGTAATGAGAAAGTGTTGGTTTCTAATATATGTAATTCCTTTATGCTTGTGGGAAAACAGTATTTCTTGTTGTTTCTTTGTCAGTGTTGATGTGGAGAGTGTCTGGTTTGCCTACTCTAGAATATGCAACGTATCATAGTCCTTCTTTAGGGGTCCCTTTCAAATCTGTGATACTATATCTGTGTGTGTGTGTGTGCGAATCCTATCTATCTATATCTATGGCTGGATGGCTCTTTGTCTGGAGGGCTCTGATAACATTTTCTTGTCCTGGTGAAGAGAGTTGGACTGGATGGCCTTAAGTATTTTCTGTTGGTCATGGGAGTCCTGTGTGCCACATTTAATTCAATGCCATAATTGGTGGAATTCAGAATGCTCTTTGATTGTAGGTGAACTATAAATCCCAGCAACTACAACTCCTAAATGACAAAATAATAAAAAATGAGTGAAGGACATACATTGGGTTGTTAGGTGTATGCTGTCCAAATTTGGTGTCAATTGGCCCACTGGTTTTTGAGTTTTGGGATGGAGAAAGGGAGGAGGGCTTGATAACATTGATTATTAGGATCAGGGCATGATGATGATGATGATGATGATGATGATGATGATGATGATGGCTAGATGACAATGATGATCATGTGCCAGTGGTGATGATGGCGGTCTTGATGATTATCAAGATCAGGGCTAGCTGATGATGATGAGGTTAGATCACAGTGATGAGGGCTAGATGATTATGATAATTATGAGGGCTAGATTACAATGATGAGGGCTAGATGATGGCAATGATGATGAGGGCTAGATGACAATGATTACGGCTAGATGATGACAATGACGACAAGGGCTAGATGACAACAATGACAAGGGCTAGATGACGACAATAATGATGAGGGCTAGATGATGACAATGATGACAAGGGCAAGGTGATGACAAAGACGACAATGGTGAGGCTAGATGACAACAATGAGGCTAGATGACAATGACGATGAGGGCTAGAAGATGATGATGAGGGCTAGGAGATGACGATATGAGGGCTAGATGACGATATGAGGGCTAGATGACGATATGAGGACTAGATGGCAACAATAACGATAATGAGAGCTAGATGACAATCAAGACTTTTAATGATGTATCCCATCTTGAGCCACAGGGAGAAGCTGGTAAAAAAATCATTAGTGTTATTATTATTTCCTTCCTTCTTTGTTGTTGTTATACTCCAAACGCTTACAAGGCACTGGATCCTGTCTGATTGCGGAATCTAAGTGAGGTCAATGCTTGATTCAAATGAAGACGAGCTGTGAAGGAACTGCACCACCTTCTGTCCCTTGCCATGGAGTCCAACTCCTATTTGCTTTTGTCCCAGTTCCTCTACAGCCGAGGCAAGAAAGAACTGACCACCAGGACGGTGCAAACGGCCAAAGTAGGCTTGAAAGACCAGAACAAGGGGCTCTTTTCCGTCTGGCAGGAGATTTTCCAGCTCCCGAAGATGCACAGGTAAGAGAGACAGGTTGGGACTTGGGCCACATCCTGCACAAGCCTGAGACAAGTTCATATCAATCTCACAAAATTATTATTATTATCATTATTATTATTATTATTATTATTATCATCAGTATGCTCACTTATAAGCCTGAGACAAGTTCACATCAATCACACAAAATAATAATTATTATTACCATCACTATGTCCACCTAAAAGCCTGAGACAAGTTCACACCAATCACAAAATTATTATTATTATTATTATTATTATTATTACCACCACCATCACTATGTTCACCTATAAGCCCAAACCAAGTTCACATCAATCACACAATGTTATTATTTTATGTGATTATGTGATTAAAATCTTTCATAACTTCTAAACCTTGGCTCTGCTCTTACTGTAGCTCAGTGGCTCTACTGCTGACACTGGGAGCTTCTGACTTGCTAAACTGCTGTAAATACTGTTGTTGCTTTCCTGTTTTCCCTCTCTTTTCCTTAACTTTGTTTCTTCCTTTTTCTCTGTTCCTCAAAGGCAAAGGATAGGGATGGGCCCTTCGATTCCGTCCGGTGGAAATGAGAATCTCTTTGCAGCGAACGGGCGGACGTCGGCGAATGCGGCTGCGCAACGGTTCGAGCACATCCTGCATCTCGGCACATCCTCCGGGGAGCATGAGAAGCTCAGCCAGGTACTGGTTTGCCGTTGTCTGGAATTATATTGAATTCAGGTCATTGTCTTTCCCTATGAGATACAAACAAAATGATTTCCATTCTTCGGAAAATACGTCCAGTGCCTCGTTTTCCGACAACTCGCTCTTTGGATTAAACTAGCACTGTGTTTACTTTATTGTCCCTTTTCTCCTCTCAGTTGATTTGACATTATCGTATATACAAAGTACACACCCCCATATTCCTCATCATTAGATATCACCAGTGCTGCTTGGTTGCAACTCCCATTATCCCCATAACCTGAAGTGATGGGAGTTGTCATTCAGCGGTGTCTGGGGACCCAAATGAAACACTAAAGAGCATCATCCACAATGTCAAAAATGTATAATCCCTCTCTCTGTCTCAACGGATTCTCTGTCTAAGCTCGTTGAAGACAAACCTAATAAGGTGGAGGTGGCCCTCCATGGAAATGGGTGGATTGTGCTTCTCTTGCAGGGTCTCTTTGAGAACTTCCTCCACATGAAGGTGAAGGGCTCCTCCTTGGACTCGGCTTGCCTGGGCCTTGATTGGATGGGCTTCACTGACCTGGTCAACCAGGCAGCCATGAATGGACAGAGCTTCCAGCTGCTGCGCTTCCTGCCCTTCCTCCCAGTTGCCTTCCACTTCCTCTTTGCCGCCTCCAGCGCGCCCCACCTGACCTTCCCCAGCAGCCAGCAGGAGGTCGGTCCCCTAACGAGAAGTATTATCATTATTAATATTATTATCATTGTGTTATCGAAGGCTTTCATTGCCGGAATCACTGAGTTGTTGAAAGCTGAGAGCATTCTCGCCTGACATTTCACCTGCATCTGTGGCAAACATCCCCAGAGGTTTGTTCAGAGGTCTGTTGGAAATGAGGCAAGTGGGGTGTATATATACCTGTGGAATAATGTCCAGGGTTGGAGAAAGAACCCTTACCTGTTTAAAGCAAGTGTGAGTGTTGCAATTAGTAAGCTTGATTAGCATTGAGAATTAGCACTCAGAAATAGGGGAATTCCAGACAGCAAACAATCAAGTGCCAGTTAATACCTACCAAACAAAGGATGCTTTCAGGCAACAACAGCCAACAAATATCCTCACTGATTTGACTTTGCAACTGCAAGGCTACTCAGTGCTAATCAAGCTTGCTAATTGCAACATTCACATGTGCTTTGAACAAATAAGGGTTCTTTCTCCCACCCTGGACATTATTCTACAAATATATATACACTCTACTTGCCTCCCTGCCAATGGAATCTCTGAAGATGCCATTAGCCACAAATACAGGCGAAACGCTAGGAGAGAATGCTGCTGGAACATGGCCATACAGTCTGAAAAACTTACAACAACGCAGTCCTTATTATCATTAGAATTATCTAATATTATCATTATTATTATCATTGGAATTATCTATTATTATTATTATCATTATCTATTATCGTAATTATTATGATCATCATCATTATCATCTATTATTATAGAATCATAGAGTTGGAAGAGACCACATGAGCCATCTAGTTCAACCCCCTGCCATGCAAGAAATGATAATTACAATTATCATTATTACAATTCTCATTATCTATTTTAGCATTATATTATCATTAAAATTATTATTATTTTAATGATCGTTATTACTATTCTCATTAGAATTATTATAATCATTATCATCACTATTATCATTATTACAATTATCTATTATTATGATCATCATTTTATCATTATTATCATGATCAATGATCATTATTATTTGTATTATTATGCTTATTACAGGCAGTCCCCAAGTTATGAACAAGATGCATTCTGTGGGTTTGTTCTTAAGTTGAATTAGTTTGTAAATCAGAACAGAGACATTTTTTAAAAGTGTTATTCCAACCAAATATGTATATAAGTTTTGGATCGCATAGGGAAAGGTTAACACCTGTGGGGTTTCCTTTGCTGTCTGTGTCCGTTCAGAAGATTTTCCTTCACTTTCTGTCCCTAAGTGGATTTTGGAAAATGTGGCTTGTTGTGGAGACAAGGATTGGGGATGATTTGCATGTTTGTTTATTCTGTTCTTCTGCATGTTTACGTTGAATGCAGTGCTTGGTGAAGCGGAGCCAGAGGCAGAACCTGGTGGCCTCCATGGCGTCTGGGATGGGGCCGGGTTCTCGCAGCCGCTACGGGTTCCAGGCTCTTGTCCTCGAGGTTCTCGACTTCCTCTTGGAAATCATCTCTCCGAAGTTGAGGCCGGTAAGGATCCCTCCATATTGGCACATAGAGCATGATGTGGTTTTATTTTCCATTTATGGACTATGCTGTCTGCATTTGCTCTCCCCAGTTCCCAATAGAAGGCCAGCTTGACCTTGAATGACCTTCCTGCATTAAAGGCTCAAACGGGAGATGAGATGCTTAGGGGAAGCAGAATATAAGATCCATGCTGCCTTTTTAAAAAGTTAGCATTTGGAGTCCCCCAGTCTCCAAATAATAATAATAATCTGCACCCTGGTCTTCTTCTAATAATAATAATAATAATAATAATAATAATAATAGCAATAATCCCAGTCTAATAATAATAATAATAATAATAATAATACACCCTGGTCCCCCTGTGGCCCACTGGCCTTTGCGGCCGGGACTTTGGGACTTGAAGGGCCCAACCCTGCTTTGCTTTGCCCTTGTACTCAGGTGAACCCACAGCTATTCAGCCAGAAGGAGAGGCAGCAGCTGGCAGAGTTGGTGGATACCATGTTGGCCTTCAACCTGACCTTCCTCCAAGAACGAAGACCTGACGGGTCCTACCTCTTTGCCCTCGAACCGTGAGTCGCCCTCTCCTCCTTTTCCTGGGAATCTGGAGGTCTCTATAGACTAGGCCTGGACAAACTTCAGCCCTCCAGGTGTTTGAACTTCAACTCCCACAATTCCTAACAGTTATATGTATTTATATAACATATATTTATATATAATTAGTTATGTATAATGGTTACATGTATTTATATAGGTATTTAATATACAATCATATATATTATATATTATATAGTCATATATGTATTTAATATTTATTTTTATAAAATATATAATATACTTATAGAATTTTATAATATATGTATGTTTATATCATTTGGATTTGATATATAATATATTTATAACTTATAATATATTTATATAATGTTTCCTATATCAATATGATAAATAAATAAATATCTAGATGAATAAAGTCAAACAAATCCCTAGGAACATGGAGGAAGTGTGCCGTTTCCCAGATCTCCCATCTCGGAAACCGCTCTCCTATCAGACCAAGCAATTGATCGCAAGGGAAATCGAATTGGAGAAGATGCGTCGGACGGAAGCCGTGCTCCAGGCCAGGAATGCTGATCTGGTGAGCTGATATCATTTATTGATTTTACTTATTGACAAGTTGCTGATGCTCTTTATTATCTTTTATATCTTAATATATTTTTATATTTTCAGCACTTCATGTTGCCAGCTATTGGTCAAAGGACATTTAATATAATGCCAAGTTTTCAAACTTTGTGCTTTTTTTTGTACTCTTGGTTTGCTCCTGACAAGAAAAATGATAAATATTTTTATATTTCTACATTTTATTCTTTATATTTATATTTTATAATGTTATATGTTATTATTTTATTTTTAATATTTAATATCTTTTTATATTTTATTATTATTTATACTTTGTGTGTGTTTGCGTCTATAATTTTATCTTTTTCTGGCTTCCTCCTTCTCATGTTCATTCATTCCCCTTCCTTCCTTCCTTTCCCTTCTTTCCTTCCTTTCCTCTTCCTTTCTTTTCCTTTCCTTCCTTAGGTCTCCATGACAAGCTCAAGCCAAGAAAAGGAGGAGCAGAAAGGAAAACTGAAATCTGGGATCCGAAACCATGAGCAACGCCTGGACCAGATTGTGAAGAGAGCCACTTTCGAGGAAAAGGTGAGTGGGCCAAGGGCTCGAATGTATCTACACTGTGCAGTTAACCCAGTTTGGCAACATTTTTAACTGCCACGACTCCATGCTGTGAAGTCATGGGATTCATATGAGTGTCATGATCACTCACTCATGCCATGCAACTATTAGCCCTGACATAGAGCACACAGCCCTGGGCAAAAAAGGAGGAAACACAATGATGCTGCAAGGACGTATGAACTGGCCATAAAAGTCAATTGCCCTGAGATGGGAGAAGGTGGGCTCCGGTATGTGGCAAGGGGCAGGCACTAGGCACCAGGACTTTTGGGTGATTTATGACATGGTAGCTAAGGCCCTGTATAGATGGGTAGGAGTGCTAGCCTCTTGTATTCCAAACAATGAAGATGTATGGTATCTTTAGGCACTGTGCATAGTGGCGTATTCTTTCCAGAGAAGACTAATCCCAAAACAACACTGTAGGAGCAATGAACCCTTATAATGAGCCGTGTCTGCCAAAGTGGTCTGGTGCTTCACCAAAACCCATAATTAGCCTTGAGCTGTGATGTTTAGAATCCTGGAGTGGAGATCCCCAAGGGTTGTCTAGTCCAACCCCATTCTGCCATAAAGGAATACACAATCTGATCCCTTCCAACAGATGGCCATCTAGTCTCTGCTTAGAACCCTCCAGAGAAGGAGACCCAAATAGAACCGTCTTCCAATAGAGTTGGAAGGGAACCTAAAGGCCATCCAGTCCAACCCCCTTCTTCCAGGCAGGAAAGGCACCATCTGATCCCTCCCAACAGATGGCCATCCAGCTTTTGCTTCTGCATTGGAGGAGGCCTGGGACAGAGATGTCTTTGGGGTCCGTAGGTGTTTCTAGGGAAGGCATTATTCTGGTTCTCTTTTTTTCCACAGCCGGAAACTGACTTCTTTGGCCGCATCATTGTCAAAAAGAAGGCGGCTCCTTCAACAGGTATGTTTTCCAATCCTTGCTTCCTAATCTTGAAGCCTCTGCCTTACAGTTCTGGGACCTCCCCAAACTACAACTCCCGTCATTCCATAGCGTTAATAATGTATTAATAGTAAAAGTATTTCTTCCCAACCTTTTGATAGTAATAATTTCAATTATTCCCAGCCTGTTAATAAAATTAATATTCTTCCAATCCTTTTAATAATAATTCTATTTATTCCCAGCTTGCTAATAAGGATGATGATGGTGATAATTCTGTTTCTTCCCCGCCTCTCCTCATAGCTAAAACACATTATGTAGCATTATGTGAAATGCACATATTAAGATCCATTTCTATGAAATGCATATCTTAAAGCACCCCAAACCAAGCTTAAAATACAGTAAACTTTAGATGTGAGTTTCAAATTCATAGCTAAAATTGAATGGGTTTTGTATTTTGGAGCTCAGCCTGCAAATGCGTATTTTGCAATGCAGCTGTTCACAGTTCCCTCAGCTATAGTTAGATTCCTTTCCCAGAACTGCATTATTTCAGAGCCTTCTCTCCTCCCAAAACTTTTCCTTTCTCTGTCTGTCCCTATATTTTCCCCTATAGCTGACCAAATACCCGAAAAGAACCCCATAGAGAAGCGGATCGGGAAAGCGGTGGGAAACAGCGACGTCTGGTTCCGGTTCAACGAAGGGGTTTCTAATGCAGTTCGGAGAAACGTCTACATTAAAGATCTATTCTGAGGGTGAAATCTGGACCATGAAAGAGAATATATTTTGCATTTTCTATATCAGGATGTTTTGTATGAATTTCCATTTCGTTGAGAAATAAATGACTTTGAGACGCACCCAGCGCTGCTGCTCTCTTTATTGCGTCGGTCGTGTTTTGCATGGCTTCTGTCCCTTTTGTTTTGTTTCAACTGCAAAACTGATACAAAAAAAACCCCAAACATACCCAAGTATTTAAAACCATTGATAAAGTGTTGTTTATAAAACATGCATGTTCCTTTACAAGTCAAGGAAATGAAAGGAAGGATAGAAAGAGGAAAGAGAGCGAGAAGACAAGAAAGAAGGAAAAGAGAAGAGCAAGAAGGGAGGAGGAAAAGCAGAAGAATAGAAAGAAAGGCTAGGAAGCAAGAAGGGAATGATAGACAAAGGAAAAAAAGGATAGGTGGCAAGAAGAGAATGATAGAAAAGGGAAAAAAGAAAAGAGAAAGAAAGGATAAAAACAAAAAAAGAAGGCAAAACAGATATAAAGGAAAAGGAAAGGACAAGGAAAGCAAGAAAAATAGAAAAGGAAAGGCAAGGCAAGGCAGAAAAGGAAGAGCAAGAAGGGAAAAGAAAGGAAGGATAGAAAAGAAAAGCAAAGAATAGAAGGGAAAAGGAAGAAAGGGAAGAGAAGAATAGAAAGAAGGGAAAGAAAGGAAAAGAAACAAAAGAAGAGAAAGCAAAAAGGAAAGAATGATAGAAGGAAAAAGAAAGCAAGCAAGAAGGAATGGTAGAAAAGAGCAAGCAGGAAAAGGAAAGAATGCAAGAAGGGAAAAGAAGGATAGAAAGGAAAAGGAATGACTAGAAAGAAAGAGGGAAGAGAAAAGAAAGGAAAAGGGAAGAAAGAAGGGCAAAAAGGAAAATGATAGAAGGAAAAGGAACGAAAGCAAGAAGGGTAGAAAGGAAAAGAAAAAGGAAGGAAAGGGAAAGGTAGAAGGAAAAGGAAAGGAAGGATTGATAGAAGGAAAAGGAAAGAAAAAAAGGATGACTGATGGATAGAAAAGCAGAACTACATGGCTTTATAAATACTCTGAATTGTGCCACTTTCCATCTTCCTATTGATTTCTTTATTCACATTTTGGGTCATTTCAAGAGAAAATGACAACATCTGCCTCCAAATAATTGCAAAGCCACCCAAATGCTAGCCTTGTTTATAAAGAGCAGATATACAGGCAAATATATATATTTATATATATGTGGGGGAATTTTCCGACACTGGCATTCGCAGAATATCCCATAAAGATCCCATAGTAAACCATTCTGCTCTAGAAACCATTTAGTGACCGATTTATTATACATGTTCTCAATGGGAGGCATAACGGGGAGCCAGCCAAAATCCCGGGACACAGTGTGTCTGCATTTGCTTTGAAGGAAGCCGTGGACGATGGGCTAGAGGATGACGCACTTGCCCTTCTCCACCCAGGGGTTGTTCTTCATCAGCTCCGGGTTCAGAAAAGGGTCCTCCGGGATCCCGTCTTCTATCCATTTCAGGAGCCTAAAGGGAGAAAAGACACCAAGATGCTCCTTCTCTGCTTCTGCATTGAGTGAGGAGGGACCCCAAAGGCCATACAGCCTGACCTCATTCTGCAATGTAGGAAGGAGGACACAATCCAATCCCTCCCGACAAACAGCTGTCTGATAAAAATCTCGATCCTGAGACCCCTGTCACACTCCCAAGCCACCTATTATTTTGCTAGAGTTGGAAGAGACCCCCCAAAGGCCATCCAGTCCAACCCTATTCTGTTTACATAGGTGTTGAACTTTTGGGATCTCCAAGGGCCATCCAGTCCAACCCCTCCTTTTGCCAGGCTAGAGGACACAATCCGATCCAAGGGTCATCCAACCTCATAGACATTACAAGGTTCATTGAGAAAGAGGGTTATATAATTATAAGATCCTAGGGCTGGAGGGGAGCCCCAAAGGCCATCTAGTCCAACCCTATTATGCCATAAAGGAATACTCAATCCAAACCCTCCTGACAAATGGCCATCAAACCTCATAGACATTATAACATTATAATAACATGATAACCTTCATGGTGAAAGAGGGCTATAGGATCCAACGGCCATCTAGTCCGACATTCTGACTTAAAGGAATACACCACCAATACCGTCCCAACAGATGGCCACCCAACCTCTTAAACATTCGAAGGTTCGTGGAGAAAGAGGACAATATCATCTTGGAGCTGGAAAGCCAGCCAAGCCCAGCCCCATTCTGCCAGGCAGGAAAGCAGGGTCCTGTGCCCCTTCGTTGGAGGCTTTTAAACAGAGACTGGATGGCAATCTGTTGGGGGTGCTTTGATGGTTCTTTTCCTACATGAAGGCAGAAAAGGGGGTGGATTGGATGGCCTTTGGAGGCCCCTTCCAATGCTAGTTGTCTTTGATTCTATAGAACTATTTCTCAATGAACCCTGCAATGTCTGTGAGGCTGGATGACCATCTGTTGAGAGGGCTTTGATGGTGCTTTTCCCACACAAGGCAGAAAGGGGGGTTGGATTGGATGGCCTTTGGGGCTCCCTTCCAGCTCTAGGGCCTTATGAGTCTATAGTGCTATTTCTCCATGAAGCCCACAATGTCTGTGAGGCTGTGTGGCCATCTGTCAGGAGGACTTTGATGGTGCTTTTCCTACATGAAGACAGAAAAGAGGGTTGGACTAGATGGCCTTTGGGGCTCCCTTCCAACTCTAGGATATTATGATTCTAAAGCTCTATTTCTCCATGAATCTCACAATGTCTGTGAGGCCACGTGGCCATCTGCCAGGAGGGCTTTGATGATACCTTTCCTACACAAAGGCAGAAAAGGGTGACCTTTGGGGGTCCCTTCCAACTCTAGGATATTATGATTCTAAAGCCCTATTTCTCCATGAATCCTACAATGTCTGTGAGGCTGTGTGGCCATCTGTTGGGAAGGCTTTGATGATGCTTTTCCTAGACAAAGGCAGAAAAGGGTGGCCTTTGGGGGTCCCTTCTAACTCTAGGATATTATGATTCTATAGCCCTATTTTTTCATGAATCTGGAAGGGAACCAGGTCCCTTCCAGTTCTGTGACTATAGATCCCATTTGAATGCCTGCAAAAGCATTCAATCCCAATGATGAGGAGGAAGAGGACTCACTCGGGGATGGTCTTGGAGGACATCTCCCTCTTGTAGGCCAGCTGGTACTTGAGGCTCTCCACTTCCTTCTTCCACTGCGGAGGGTCCCATTCGTCCATGGAGGGCTCTTTTGGGGGGGCTTTTTGGGAGAAGCTCAGAGAAGGGGGTCAAACCTGGGCCCAGAAGCAAAGGAAAGACACACAAGGAAAGACATCAAGATTCCAAACTTCTTGCAACAAAAGAGACAACTAAAACAATGCAACAAAAAAAAACCCAAAGCAAAATCAATACTAGAAATAAAATAAATCACAATTCTAGACTTCTTGCAACTAGAAAAGTGACTAAAACAATGCAGGAAATAAAATAATAATGCTATGAGTTGCCAGTTTATGGATCCAAACATCCACACTCCTTCCAGTTAGAAAAGTGTGTGCCTACAATGTGTGTGTCTACATCTATACACAAAATAAAAAGTCAGAATGCTACAAGTTGCCAACTTATGGTGCGAAACATTCCTCGCTACTTGCAACTAGAAGAGTAACTGAAACCACCCAAAGAAATCAACATTTCCATCACTTCTTGCAACTGGAGAAGTAACTAAACCTATACAAAAATAAAAGTGCTACAAGTTACTGGCTTGTGGTCGAAAACATTATGCGTTTCTTGCAACTTAGATGAGTAACTAAAACCATCCAAAGAAATCAGCATTTCCAACACTTCTTGCAACTGGGTAAGTCACTAAAAATGCAAACAATAAAATTGAAATGCTACAACTTGCCAGGAAAGTAACTCAAATGGCCAGAAAAGAAGCAATATCGGAAGATGGATACCTTTGAATCTTTCTCGCTGAAGAAAACCCTACAAAGCCCATGGGATGACCATTAATGGGCACAAATAAGACCTGCCCTCGTTGAGAGCGATAAAGTGCTTACCTTCACTGTGCAAATCTGGGGAAATTTTGCATCAAGTAGCAATTTGGGCACAATATCTAAGAGCAACCTGCTTTGCATGCCTCCCAAACACAGCAATCTCTGGACTTGGTTGGGTTTTATTTTGAATGACGTCAAAGGAGTGGCAAATCTCAAACATTTGCTTATGGGAAAAGGAGAGATCTAGGGCTCAGCAAAACCCCATCTATGGCCAGCCCCATGGGCCTATGTTCTTGGTGGGTGTCTATTGTGGAATGAACGTGGTTTGTTATGTAATTGGAGACATGGAAATCATGTCTGTGTCCACTACATAACATTGTATTAAATGCTTGGGGATGTGATTAAGAGTGAAAAGTGGGCTAATAATAGAGATAATAATAGAGATAATAATAGAGATGATGATGATAATAATAATAATAATAATAATAATAATAATAATAATAATAGGAAAAGCTGACACAATATGAGGATTTAAAGATCGAACTGCAAATACTCTGGCACAAGCCAGTCAAGGTGGTCCCAGTGGTGATCGGCACACTTTGTGCAGTGTCTAAAGACCTTGGCCTGCACTTATACACAATCAGTACTGACAAAATTACCATCTGCCCGCTGCAAAAGGCCATCTTACTGGGATCTGCACGCATTATTCGCCAATACATTACACAGTCCTAGACACTTGGTAAGTGTCCACCGTGTGAGCCAATACAACAGCCAGCAGAGGGATCTTGTCTGCTGTGGACTCATTTTGTTGTGTTTCTAATAATAATAATAATAATAATAATGATGATGATGATGATGATGATTTTCTGCCCTATAAATAGAACATTTGGAAGTATAACTGTCAATAATGTAGCATCATCCAAAGTGTATGACTCCGTAAATTTTTGCCATTTTGGATTATATTATATATTAATATATTATTATTAATATATATTATTGCATACATAATATTGTATACACCATATAATATAATAACATGTATGACTCATTTTGGATTAGTTGCATTTGGACATAGGTGCAAATGCAACTAATCCAAAATTATTCATGTCTAATCTAATCTAATCTAATCTAATAAAATATTAATCTTTTTGGATTAGTTACATTTGCACCTATATCCACAATTAGACATTTTAGAAATGGGACATTCCCAAGTCTAAGCATGAAATTCCTTTAACTTTCAAATACACCTTTCAAGTTCAATAGGAAAGAGTTAAGGAAATGTTTTCATCGGTTCCCAAGTACTTCCTTAGGGAGTCACTGCTCTGCCTCAGCAAGGACTTCTTATATAACTCCCCATGCTCCTGTTGCATGGAATCTTCCATCCTAATACATTGCAATAGTTGACTTAATCCTTTGTTGACTTTATCCTTTTTTTTCTGGACCCTACAAGATCCAAAGAAACTGATGTCTCTTTTGCATAGAGTCAAACAATTCTATCCGGGTTTGAACGCGTTTGCATTAAACAAAAAGAGATGTAAATATGATGGATGAGAGCAGAACATCCTTGACATGTTAATACGGTGAATTCGGTTCAATGTTTTCTGCCAATTTTTCTACACCAGAACAAATAAAACCACCAGGACAATAGAAACCAGGAAAGAAAAACTGGTCTCTCCCTAAAAATGGAAAAAAACAACCAGCCGTATTATATTTGGGGTTCATCTCATACTGTATTGAAATGCCTCTAAAAGTTCAAAAGGAGCACATGAAGGCAACCATAAACCCATCTATATCTGTATAGAGATCAATATTGTTTCTGGCATCTGAAAAAGAGCACCTGAAGGCATAAATCTGCATCTATAGTTCAAATAGATGGAGGATGGATGGATGGATGGATGGATGGATGGATAGATCGATCATTTGGATAAGAAGCACATCAAGGCAACAATCAACCCATCACTATCTCAGTCTCTGAGGAGCCCCTGATGGTGCAATGGGTTAAACCCTTGTGCCAGTAGGACTGAAGACCAACAGGTCACAGGTTCGAATCCGGGAGAGCGCAGATGAGCTCCCTCTGTGAGCTCCAGCTCCCCATGAGGGGAGATGAGAGAAGCCTCCCACAAGGATGGTAAAAAACATCAAAACATCCGGGCGTCCCCTGGCCAATGTCCTTGCAGATGGTCAATTCTCTCACACCAGAAGCGACTTGCAGTTTCTCAAGTTGCTCCTGACACACTCACATCCCAGTCTCTGTCTATCTAGTTTAAATAGATAAATATTTCAGATTGATAGTTAGAGAAATAGAGAGAGAGAGTTAATTTGTACAAGAAGCATGGGAAGGCAACAATCAACTCATCTCTATATCAATATCTAACTGTATCTATGTACTTTAGATGGATGGATTGATGGATGGATAGATTGACTGATAAATGTATGCCATGGGTGGTTGTTGGCTTCTTATGGTACTCGTCCAAATTATTGATAGATCTATCTATCTATCTATCTATCTATCTATCTATCTATCTATCTATCTATCTATGGGTTGAATGTTGCCTTCATGTGCTTCTTGTCTGTCTATCTATCTATCCATCTACATACACACACACACACACACACACATATGGATTGATTGTTGCCTTCCCATGCTTCTTGTACAGAAGGACCATCCATTTGAAATATCTCACTATGCATGGGAGAGAACCAGTATATTTATTTTAACATATTTATTTAAGAAGTTTTCAGACCATACTTGAATTTACCCAAAGAAATCTCTGTATCAGTATCTACCTGTATCTATGCAAATTGACTAGATAGATAGATAGATAGATAGATAGATAGATAGATAGATAGATAGATAGACAGACATATGAGGAAAGGAGAAATAGTTCATTCTCTCTTCTGGGCAAGAAGTACATGAAGACAATAATCAACCCATATTGTTATCAAGATAGATAGATAGATAGATAGATAGATAGATAGATAGATAGATAGATAGTTGGTAGATAAATCAATCATCTGGACAAAAAGCAAATGAAGGCAAAAATCAACCCATCTCTATATCAATATCTATCTATCTATCTATGTAGTTTGGATAGATAGATAGATAGATTAGATAGATAGATAGATAGATAGATAGATAGATAGATAGATAGAGATATTTTAGATGTATATGTAGTTCATTTGTTCTTTTGGACCAGAAGCACATGAAGACAATAGTACTTTGTTCTCTACACTTTTTCCAATCTCCTGGCCCTATACTCTGCTGTTTTGCACTATGCCATGCCTGATCATACCCATCTTAGTATTCCTGGCTATCGATTTTTGTTGTGTATTGTCTGAGTTAGTTTTAAGGCTGCTGTTTTTATACCCCTATGTTTTATTTAATTGTATTTTAAAGTATTGTTATGTTTTATTTTAATCGTATTTTGTTTTTAATGGATTGTTTTGCTTTGATGTTCTGTGGACATTTTGTCCTATGTGTAAGCTGCCCTGAGACCCTTTGGGAGATGGAGGTGGGGTATAAAAATAAAGTTGTTGTCATTATCAACCCATATTGATAGCAATATCTATATATGTCTATGGATGTATGTAGTGTAGATCAATCGATCGATCATCTGAACTAAAAGCAAATGAAGGCAACAATCAACCAATTTCTATATCTATATCTCTATATATCTATATAGTTTAAACTGATGGATAGATATAGATTGATATTTAAAGTGGATGGATAGATGGTCCATTGGGAAAAAAAGCTCGGGAAGGCAACAACCAACCCATATCTATATATCTCTATATATCTATATAGGAGATGGATAGATAGAGAGACAGATTATTTGGACAAGAAGCACATAAAAGCAACAATAAATCCATATCTATCCATCTGTATTTAGATAGATAGATAGATAGATAGATAGATAGATAGATAGATAGATAGATCATTTGGACAAGTAGCACATGAAGGCAACATCAGCCTGATACATTGATCTATCTATCTATCTATCTATCTATCTATCTATCTATCTATCTATCTATCTATCCATCCATCCATCCATCCATCCTTCTTTCTTTCTTTTTATCTATCGATCGGTCTGTCTATCTGTCTATCTATCAGTCTATCATCCATCCGTCTGTCCGTCCGTCCATCCATCCGTCTGTCTGTCAGTCACTCTATCTATCTATCTATCTATCTATCTATCTATCTATCTATCTATCTATCGGTCTATCTGTCTGTCTATCCATCTGTCCATCTATCTATCTATCTATCTATCTATCTATCTATCTATTTATCTATCTATCTATCTATCTATCTATCTATCTATCTATCTATCATCTATCTATCTATCTATCTATCTATCTATCTATCTATCTATCTATCTAGTGGTCTGTCTATTTATCTATCGGTCTATCTATCTATCTATCTATCTATCTATCTATCTATCTATCTATCGGTCTGTGTATCAGTCTGTCTATCTATCATCTATCTATCTATCTATCTATCTATCTATCTATCTATCTATCTATCTATCTATCTATCTATCTATCTATCTATCTATCTATCTAGTGGTCTATCTTATCTATCTATCTATCTATCTATCTATCTATCTATCTATCTAGTAGTCTATCTATCTATCTATCTATCTATCTATCTATCTATCTATCTGGTGGTCTGTCTATCTATCGGTCCATCCATCCATCCATCCATCCATCCATCCATCCATCCATCCATCCATCCATCCATCCATCTTCCTGGCATTGTGCTATTCAAAGCTATACCATTTCTGGACATGGAGGTTCTATTGAGTTACCATGTTTTTTAGAAAGCTCGAAAGAGCTTCAATTTTCCACTCTTTTCCCCCAACATCTGAACAAACATGTTCCTTTCACCTTCGAAGGATGTTGCTTTTTAAAATAGGTAAACTGAGCCCTTAGAAAGAAAAGCTGTACCTGTCAAGGTGAGGCCAAACTGGGGGGACAGGTGCTTCCGCTTGGAGAAGGAGGGCTCCCCAGGACCTTCCGCGGTTGCTGTTCACAATCTGAAGTCCTGAATGTAATCTATTAATGTGCTGCCTGTCCAGCTGCCTAGAAAAAAAAAAAGGGATAATGAGAAGAGAGAGAGACAGCCTCCCGCGGGTGCTTTGCTCTGGTTAATGGTTCAGAGTTGAGATAAGCCGAAAGAGGGAACGAGAAAGAGAGGAGGGAAGAGGAGTGTGCACAGCCAGTTGTTTGCCTCTGCTACTGACCTCTCCCAATATGCCCTTTTGCAAAACAAAAACAGTGCGTGTGTGAAGTCTCATTAGCAGGATATCTAAATAAATGTAAACAATAATTCTCCAACGCAACATCTTCCATAACACAATATTGCAGGAACCATAGCTACCTTTGGCCTTCATCAAACAAGGTGCCATAATTGCATCCCAAAGGGTTTTTGCTGAGCGAAGGGACAACAGTTTAATAGTTATTTTGTCACTCCTTTTCCCCATGGCTCTGGAAATATATATATATATCTCCCACAAAGGTAATCTAGACCGAACCCCAAAGAAATCAATGCAATTTAGATCTCATCATTTCGATACTGCTGTCTTGCCTGTTTGGAGATTCTTCCAATGAAGTAAGTTACTGTACTTACTTAATGTATGTGTTTCCTTCTCTTTCAATACAAGCGGCATCAATAGGGAAAAGGGGAAACCAAAGCTAACTGTACAAAATATTAATTACAAAGTATTCTCTATGTGGCAGTATCGAAATATGATATAATGTAATAAATATAATATAATATACATAGATATTAAAATATACATAATGAGTTCGTTAATTTTTCCAGTGTATACAAACATGTATGCATGTATTTCTTTGGTTAAATTGTATTTTTTTAGTATTATGAGTCACTTAGGACCTTGGTTGCATGACAAAAGCAGGGTACAAATATAATAATAATAATAATAATAATAATAATAATAATAATAGCAACAACAACAACAACAACAACAACAACAACAACTGCAGCACCAGCAGCAACAATATCATAATAATCATAGAATTATAGAATTGGAAGAAACTGGATGGACAATCCAGTCCAACCCCCTGCCATGTTTATTGTTATTATTATTATTATTATTATTATTATTATTATTATTATGTAATAATAATATTACCATAGAATCATAGAATTGAAAGGGACCATATGGGACATCCAGTCCAACCCCTTCCATATTAATTATTATTATAATTAATATAATACTGCAAGTAGCTTCTGGTGTGAGAGAATTGGCCGTCTGCAAGGACGTTGCCCAGGGGACGCCCGGATGTTTTGATGTGTTACCATCCTTGTGGGAGGCTTCTCTCATGTCTCCACATGAGGAGCTGGAGCTGATAGAGGGAGCTCATCTGCACCATCCCCGGATTCGAACCTGCGATCTGTCGGTCTTCAGTCATAGAATCATAGAATCAAAGAGTTGGAAGAGACCTCATGGGCCATCCAGTCCAACCCCCTGCCAAGAAGCAGGAATATTGCATTCAAATCACCCTGACAGATGGCCATCCAGCCTCTGTTTAAAAGCTTCCAAAGAAGGAGCCTCCACCACACTCCGGGGCAGAGAGTTCCACTTCTGAACGGCTCTCACAGTCAGGAAGTTCTTCCTCATGTTCAGATGGAATCTCCTCTCTTGTAGTTTGAAGCCATTGTTCCGCGTCCTAGTCTCCAGGGAAGCAGAAAACAAGCTTGCTCCCTCCTCCCTGTGGCTTCCTCTCACATATTTATACATGGCTATCATATCCCCTCTCAGCCTTCTCTTCTTCAGGCTAAACATGCCCAGCTCCTTAGGCCGCTCCTCATAGGGCTTGTTCTCCAGACCTTTTATCATTTTAGTCGCTCTCCTCTGGACACATTCCAGCTTGTCAATATCTCTCTTGAATTGTGGTGCCCAGAACTGGACACAATATTCCAGATGTGGTCTAACCAAAACAGAATAGAGGGGTAGCATTACTTCCCTAGATCTAGACACTATGCTCCTATTGATGCAGTCCAAAATCCCATTGGCTTTTTTTGCCGCCACATCACATTGTTGGCTCATGTTTAACTTGTTGTCCACGAGGACTCCAAGATCTTTTTCACACGTACTGCTCTCGAGCCAGGCATTGTCCCCCATTCTGTATCTTTGCATTTCGTTTTTCCTGCCAAAGTGGAGTATCTTGCATTTGTCACTGTTGAACTTCATTTTGTTAATTTTGGCCCATCATCTCTCTAATCTGTCAAGATCGTTTTGAATCCTGCTCCTGTCCTCTGGAGTATTGGCTATCCCTCCCAATTTGGTGTCGTCTGCAAACTTGATGATCCTGCCTTCTAGCCCTTCATCTAAGTCATTAATAAAGATGTTGAACAGGACCGGGCCCAGGACGGAACCCTGCGGCACTCCACTCGTCACTTCTTTCCAGGATGAAGAGGAAGCATTGGTGAGCACCCTCTGGGTTCGTCCATTTAACCAATTACAGATCCACCTCACCGTAGTTTTGCCTAGCCCACATTGGACTAGTTTCCTTGCCAGAAGGTCATGGGGGACCTTGTCGAAGGCCTTACTGAAATCCAGGTACGCTACATCCACGGCATTCCCCGCATCTACCCAGCTTGTAACTCTATCGAAAAAAGAGATCAGATTAGTCTGGCATGAGTTGTTTTTGATAAATCCATGTTGACTATTAGCGATGACCACATTTGTTTCTAAGTGTTTGCAGACCACTTCCTTAACCATCTTTTCCAGAATCTTGCCTGGTATTGACGTGAGGCTGACCGGACGGTAGTTGTTTGGGTCATCCTTTTTTCCCTTCTTGAAGATTGGGACCACATTGGCCCTCCTCCAATCTGCTGGAACTTCTCCTGTTCTCCAAGAACTCTCAAAGATGGTTGCCAATGGTTCCGAAATGACTTCTGCTAGTTCCTTCAATACTCTTGGGTGTAGTTGATCTGGCCCTGGGGACTTGAACTCATTTAGAGCGGCCAGGTATTCCTGTACAACTTGTTTCCCAATTTGGAGTTGGATGTCCTCAAATCCCTCATCCACTCCGTCTTGCTGAGGTTGAAGATGACTTTCTTTTTGTGAGAAGACCGAGGCAAAGAAGGTATTAAGTAGTTCTGCCTTTTCCCTATCCCCTGTCAGCATTGCCCCATCTTCTCCTCGAAGAGGCCCCATCGCCTCCTTGTTTTTCCTTTTTCTACTGACATAAGAAAAGAAGCCCTTTTTATTGTTTTTAATGTCCCTGGCAAGCCTGAGCTCGTTTTGTGCTTTAGCCTTGCGGACCTTTTCCCTACAGGTGTTGGCTATTTGTTTGAATTCTTCTTTGGTGATTTCTCCCTTTTTCCACTTCTTGTGCATGTCTCTTTTGTGTCGCAGCACAGTTAGAAGTTCTTTGGACATCCATTCTGGCTTCTTTGCACTTGTCCTATTTTTTCTTTTTGTTGGCACTGTTTGCAACTGCGCCTTGAGTATTTCACTCTTGAGAAACTCCCATCCATCCGTAACTCCCTTGTCTTTTAGTATCTGTGTCCACGGTATGCTGCTCAGCGTTTCCTTCATTTTTTGGAAATCAGCTCTCCTAAAGTCCAAAATGCGGGTTTGACTTGTCTTAGTTTCGGCCTTCCTTTGTACCTCAAATTGCAGGAGCACATGGTCACTTGCCTCTAAGGATCCTACCACTGTGCCGACAGTCCTGTCGGCACAGGGATTTAACCCATTTTGCCATTGGGGGCTCCAATAATAATATTAATATCATAATAGAATTAGAAGGGACCACATGGACCATCCAGTTCAACCTTCTGCCATGTCCGAGCGTATCTCCCTCTATGATCCAACTTAGAGGCTAAGATTGTCAGGGGAGGCCCTGCTCTCGGTCCCACCCCCTCGCAGGTGAGACTGGTGGGGAAGAGAGGCATGGCTTTCTCAGTGGTTGCCCCCCATCTATGGAACTCCCTCCCCAGTGAAATTAGATCAGCTCCCTGTCACCTGACCTTCAGGGAAAAAAATTAAAAACATGGCTCTGGGATCAGTAATGTGAGCAATGAAATAAGAAACTATAATTATCATAATGATGACTCGAACTGGCCCTGGAATATGATCTGGATTATGTGACTTTAATTGATGCTTTAATGTTATGTTTTAATTGACTTGGTTTTAATGCTTCAGTTTATTTACCAATGTATTTCTATATGTGGCATGAAATGGTTGTCTTTGGTCACTCTGAGTCCCTTTTGGAGTTGAGAAGAGTGGGGTTCAATTGCAGTAAATGAATAAGTAAATAAATATTATTATAATAACTAAATAATAATAATAATAATAATAATAATAATAATAATAATAATAATAGACACTTGGGAAGTGTCTGAGGTGTGATCCAATACAACAGCTAGTTGTGTTTCAAATAATAATAATAATAATAATAATAATAATAATAATAATAATAGCTGCTCTGAGTCCCCTTGGGGAGATAGGGCAGGATACAAATAAATTATTATTATTATTATTATTATTATTATTATCATTATTATTATTGATATCATAATAGAATTGGAAGATACCTTATGGGCCATCCAGCCCAACCACCTGTCTTGTTTATTATTATTATTATTATTATTATTATTATTATTATTATTATTATTTAAATAATAATAATAATAATATCATCATAGAATCATAGAACCAGAAGGGACCACATGGGCCATCTAGTTCAACTCCCTGCTATGTTTCTTCTTCTTCTTCTTCTTCTTCTTCTTCTTCTTCTTCTTCTTCTTATTGTTGTTGTTGTTGTTGTTGTTCATTCGTTCAGTCGTCTCCGACTCTTCGTGACCTCATGGACCAGTCCACGCCAGAGCTCCCTGTCGGCCGTCACCACCCCCAGCTCCTTCAAGGTCAGTCCAGTCACTTCAAGGATGCCATCCATCCACCTTGCCCTTGGTCGGCCCCTCTTCCTTTTGCCTTCCACTTTCCCCAGCATTATTATTATTATCAACAGCAATTCTTTGAGGCCTAAAGCATCAACTCTAGGACGTTGTCCCTAAATGCCCTGCAACTGAAGCAAGTCAATGAGTCCTGAAGATTACTCCAAAAGGTACTGTATCTGGAATCTAGTGATCAAATGGTTCAAACAGATCCAGGAGTCAGTGTCAACAGAGACAAAACTAGCCAGTCTTTTTACTATGATTAAGCTGTCCCTGTTTTTCTCTATCCAAAGGG